TGGGTGCCGGAGGAGCTGAAGGTCACCCACGCTCCTCCTCAGACTAAACACGGCTGCTGGGGCTGGCGGGGGCCCTGGAGGGGGTCTGGGGGGATTGCACTGGGTGACACACGTGTGTCCCCTCCCCAGGCCTGGGTGGGCACCCCCCAGCACAGGACATTGTCCCCACGGTGCCCCTGAGTGACCCCCACCCAGCCCTGGGCTGCCCCCCCCGTGCCCACTCCCTGCCTGGTATCTTCTGCCCTCCGGGGATCCTGGGGAGGTTCAGTGTGGCTCCAGGTCCCCGGGCCATGGCCCTGTCCCCCCTCCATGTCCCCCTCACAGCATCAGGTCCCCTCACCATGTCCCAGCTCCGTGTCCCTGCTCTGGTTCCAGGTCCCCGAGCCATGTCCCTGCCCTGGATTCATGTCCCTGTGCCACACCCCAGTTCTGTCCCCATGCTGTGTCCCCATCCCAGCTCTGGGTCCTTATGCCATGTCCCAGCTCCAGTCCCTGCCCTGGCTCCTTGTCTCCCCATCCCAGCTCCAGGTCCCCATGCCATGTCTCTGCCTTGGTTCCACATCCCTGTGCCATGTCCCAGCTTCAGAGCTGTGCCCTGACTCCGTGTCCCCATGCCATGTCCCCATTCCAGCTTCATGTCTTCACACCCTGTCCCTGTCCAAGCTCCATATCCCCATGTCCCTGTCCCCGTCCTGGCACCATGTCCCCATGCCATGTCCCTTTTTCAGCTCCGTGTCCCATTCCATGTCCCCATTCCATGTCCCCTTTCCAGCTTCATGTCTTTGTGCCCCGTCCCTGTCCCAGCTCCACATCCCCGTGTCCCTGTCCCAGCTCCAGAACCCCATGCCATGTCCCTGTCCTGGCACCACGTCCTCATGCCATGTCCTTCTTTCCCCTCCATGTTCCATCCCATGTCCCTGCGTCATGTCCCCATGCCCCATCCTTGTCTCTACCCTGTTTCTGCACCCCCATGCCTGTCCCCATCCCATCTCCATGTCCCCATGCCATGTCCCTGCTCTGTGCCCGAGCCATGTGGTGCCAGCCCCCAGCCCCTCATGAGACCCGAGCACAGCTCATTGCACGGATGGGCAGGGGGTGGCTCCTGCCCCCGCGGGCTGCCGGGGAGCGCGTTCCCCGCCGTGGGGACAGGGATGGTGAGGGTGAGTGTCCCCCCATGCCCGCCCCGCTCTGCCGGGACCCCCGCGGTGTCACCCTTGGCCACCAGGCCGCGTGGCCGAGGCCACCAGGTGGCACTGCGAGGCCACCGCGGCCGTGGCTGCCCGGACCCCCGACCCAACCCTAACCCTGTCCCCAGATCTGTCCCTCCATGGGCACAGCCAGAGGAACAACCCCTATGTTCCCAAACGTGTCCCCAAATCTGTCCCTTTGCAGTTATGGCCACATTGGTGACTCCTCTGTCCCCAGATTTGTCCCCAGACCTGTTCCTCCATGGGCACGGACCCAGTGACAACTCCCCTGTCCCCAAACCTGTCCCTCTATTTTCTTACCCAAGTTACAACCCCTCTGTCACCAGATCTGTCCCCAAACCTGTTTCTCCATGGGCACAGCCTGAGTGACAACTCCTCTGTCCCCAAATCTGTCCCCAGATCTGTCCCTCCACAGGCCATGGGCACAGCCAGAGTGACAAATACCCTATCCCCCGATCTGTCCCCAAACCTGTCCCTTGGCAGGCAGAGCCCCGAGCCCCCGGGCTGAGGGGGACAGCCTTGGGGTGTCCCTGGGGCTCAGGGCCTCCTGCCACCTCCTGTGCCTCAGTGTCCCCACAGGGCTGCGGCACCCACGTTCCCTAAGAGGGGACAAGGTGTCCCCCCACCCAGGCTGGTCCCCCTGGGGGCAGCCCCTCGTGGTGTGTGTCCCCAGTGTGAGTGCCCGGCTCCAGTGCAGATGCCCAGTCCCCCTACATGTGGCCAGAGCGTGTCCCTCCCTGGTCCCCTGTACGGGTCCCCTGTCACGGTGGCTGTCCCCAGTCCTGGTGGGTGTCCCCTGTGTGGACACCGTGACCCCATGTGGGTGCCTGGCCCTGGTGCAGGTGCCCCTCATCTACATGTCCCCTGTGGGCACCTGGTCCCCCATGAGTGGCCCCAGTGTCGATACCTGGGCCCAGTGCATGTCCCCACTGTGGGCACCTGGCCCTTGTGAATGTCCTCACTGTGGTTACCCGGGCCTGTTGTGGGTGCCCAGTCCTGGTACAGGTCTCTGGAGCCTGTGTTCAGTGCCCTACGTGTGGGTCCCCAGTCCTTCATGGATGTCCCCTTTTTGGACGCCCAGTCCGGGTGTGTGTCCCTCATCCCTGTGGGTCTCCCCGGTGTGGATACCTGGTCCCGGTGTGTACCCAGCTCCCCTTGTATGTTCCCGGTGTGGGTGCCTGGCCCGGGTGTGGGTGCCCAGTCCGGGGACAGGTTCCCATTGCAGATCCCCAGTCCCGGTGTGTGTCCCCAGTGTGTTCACCCGGTCCCCTGCGTGTTCCCGAATCAAACGC